TAAATCCCATATCACCAAGGCCACACTGTAAGACAGAGGATTGCTTGTGCCTGGGGATTTTTGCTCAGAAAGCACTTGTTTCTTTCCCTTGGAAATTGCTTTTTTGTGGCTTCCATGCCCAAGCTCCACCCCCATCCCAGTCACTTATTGGGCCTCGTGTCCTTCTCTCTTCAGCCACCAAAACCCTCAACAGAGGCATCTCTGAGTTCATCGTGATGGCTGCAGACGCTGAGCCGCTGGAGATCATCCTTCACCTTCCGCTGCTATGTGAGGATAAGAACGTGCCCTACGTGTTTGTGCGCTCTAAGCAGGCCCTGGGGCGGGCCTGCGGGGTCTCCAGGCCTGTCATCGCCTGTTCTGTCACCATCAAAGAAGGCTCACAGCTGAAGCAGCAGATCCAGTCCATTCAGCAGTCCATTGAAAGGCTCTTAGTCTAAACCGGCGGCCTGTGCCCCACTCCTCACTGAGTCCTCCCCTTGGGGTTGTGTATCATATTGTCTGTGTTAGCATGTAGTACCTCCGGCCACGTTCTCTTGTTATATCACAGTACTAAATCCGGGTTTTGCATTTTTGTATTATTTTTGTTTTACGGGGTGTTATCCATATATTAATCCTCCACCCAGCCCAGTCTCCCATTCTTCTCTGCCATCTTATCCTCCCTTTTGAAAAATGAACTAATGCGAAGAACAGGCAGAGACAGAGTGGTGATACCATTCAAAGGCAGGGAAGAGCCAGGATAGAGATCTCGTTCCAGCTTTCAGGCGCTGACTTCCCCTTGTGTGCAGGACCTCATGGATGTAAACACCATTCACTTTGTATCCCTCGTGCCTGGTGTACAAAATCATTCCATAAACGTTTGCTCTGTATGGAGATTATGTAGCATTTGGGGAGAAAGCATGTATCCTGTGAGGTTATTAGGTGTATGTCCAAGTGTCATGTGCTAATCTGCCCCTGCCGTTTGCTTCGGTAATGTGGTATTGTTCCCCCTCTCCCCCAACTCCTAACCATGCCCCTGAGGGCAGCAGGGCAGCAGCATAGCAAAGATGTGCTGCAGAATTCCAGAAGCTGCCTGAGCAAGTTAGACATGGGGTAGTTGACCTAGGTCTTGAAGGAGTCCAGAGTGGCAAGAGAAAAGAGAATCAACTGATGCTGAAATGAAGAAGTCTTATGAGTCCCGGAGGCCTGACTGGAAGCTACAGCAGAGATGCTAGAGTGCAGGAAACATCCTCTCTGGTGAATACAAAGGTCTTCAGTGGACAGTTGGTACCAGCTCTGAAAGCCATGACCCCTGTTCCCTGCCACAGTGTGGGGCAGGTGTATTCTTCATCACATCAGAAGGACAGTGCTCGTGTGCCATTCTCGTGAGCATTCTAATAAAGAGATATATTCATATTCCAGTTTAAAGAAAGTGTGGTTCTTGATAGGTATCCAGCTAATACCTGAAATGAAGAACTGTTTCGCATTCTTAGAACAGTGATAGCTTCTCAAACTTTCCACCAAGAGGCTGTGAAAAAGCCATTACCTCTGGTGGTTTTCTAGCAGCTCAAAGTGTCTTGTACTGACATGATCATTGAGGTGTTGCTCTCACTCTACAGAGGGTTTCCCCGCCTCAGCACTAAGGATGTTTTGGGCTGGAAGATTTTTTATTTTTTAACTTTTTAAAATTTAGGGGCGCCTGGGTGGCTCAGTCGGTTAAGCGGCCGACTTCAGCCCAGGTCATGATCTTGCGGTCCATGAGTTCGAGCCCCGTGTCGGGCTCTGTGCTGACAGCTCAGAGCCTGGAGCCTGTTTCAGATTCTGTGTCTCCCTCTCTCTGACCCCCCCCCCCCACCCCGTTCATGCTTTGTCTCTCTCTGTCTCAAAAATAAACGTTAAAAAAAAAATTTTTAAATCCAAGTTAGTTTACATATAGTGTAGTAATAGTTCTAGGAGCAGGCTGACCGATTCTTTATGGGAGAGGGGGGCCCTGTATGCTGTAGAATGTTTAGCAGCATCTCTGGTCTTTACCCACTAGATGTCAGTAGCAATCGTCTCCCTCCCCGAAGACACTGCCAGGTGTTCCGGTGGCAAAGTCACCCCTAGCTGAGAACTGTTGCAGAATTAGGGCTCCTAGTAGCCTTTGCCACATGCTAGAGAGTTAGGGGTTGTGGTGGGGAGGTGATGACTGAAGCCACTTATTAACCTGAGGGAAAGCACTGTGAGATCCTTGTATCTCAGCAAGAGAAGTTTTCTTCCAGGGTATAGATAACTGAATACCATAATGGTCAAATTAGTGCAGGTTATATTTAGTGTTGTCTTGGCCAGCTTGGGCCAGTGTGCACATTTCAGTAAGAAGCATATGTAGGAAATCCAGAAACCACCCTATCCTGCTAAAGTGTTGTGTGCCTACTGGGCTAGTCATTTCCTCCAGGTGACTCCAATGTTTAGATACCCCCATCTCCCCACCCCGACCCCGCCAACCCAAGCAGCTTTATATTTGTAGGTGGTGGGGTTCAGGTTGCTTACTATGTTTTGTTCTATATGTACATTTATAATCATACTTTAAAAGAACAAAATAATTTGGGTGGAGGAAGATCAAGTTCAAACTCCACTTGGTTGGAAACTCAGCCTTATCCACTAGAGCTTTAGGAAGTGAGGTGGGGCAGGGGCTCCTGGGATCTACACCCCTAGTACCCACTTTACTCTGGAGTGTTAGCTCAGTTGCCACAGCTACATTTTAAGCCTTCAGAGGCCAGGGTCCCCGTTTATGATCCTTTGAAAAAACTGGCTCTTCTCCCTGCTCCTAATGGCCCCCCTGCCTGTCCTGTGTCTGCATCTCCACCATGTTCTGTCTTCAGTGTTTCACATTTGGTTTCTTGAACATTCCAAACATACTTACTTCTTGTTGGTTGTATCTCATGTTCCTTTACTGCACTGGTGGCTTTCTTCTCATGCCAGTCTTAATTCAAGTATCACTGCTGTAGGACCTTTACAAACTACCTCATTTCTTTCCTTTTCCCCCAGCACTGTGACATCCTATTTTTAGCTGCTTCTTTACTAACATCTGAGGTGGTTTTCTGATCATTAACCCTCATTAGCGAGCAGGAACTTGTGTGATACCCTAGCACCTGTAGCAGTGCCCTGACATAGATGCTTCAAAAGTGTAGAATGATGGGGCACCTGGGTGGCTCAGTCGGTTGAGCGTCCAATCCGACTTTAGCTCAGCTCGTGATCTCACAGTTCGTGAGTTCCAGCCCGTGTCAGGCTCTGTGCTGACAGCTCAGACCTGGAGACTGCTTCGGATTCTGTGTCTCCCTCTCTCTGCCCCTCTCCTCACACTGTCTCTCCCTCTCTCAAAAATAAATCAACATTAAAAAAAAAATTTTTTTTTAAGTGTAGAATGAATTCCTAAAGGGTAGACACACAAGCAAGGAAATCTAGTAATTTCCAGCCAGCCACCTATGAAGTTGGTTGCAGAATTTTGCATTTAAACATTTTTGTAGAGAAAATCAGGTCAATCATCAGGTCTGAAAGGTTCCTCTGACCCCAAACACACAGTGGTTAGGAACTTCTGTTCTAGAGTGCAAGTTTCCTGAGTGGACTAAGATTAAGGAATGTTTTTATATTTACAATAGTGACCTTGGTAAAGGTCATCTGTAATACGTTAAGTACTAAACAATGCATTTCCATTATCGTTAAGCCCAAACTATGAGGGCTTAAAGGTGGTGAGGAAGGAAGAGGAACTTGTTCTCAGCACGGTATCCCCGAGTCCCTCTCAATGTCAGCTAAGTTACATTTTGAAAAATCTCTGCCCCACCCCCACCCACCATCCCTTTTCTATCCTCTCTGTCCCTTTTCTGCTCTTTCTGCTGCTACTGCTTTTGAAGAATTAGCCTAAGAGAAGGAAGGAAAGCATCTGGAAGGATTTGCATCCTCCATGGATGGCTGGAGATTCAGGTCTGTAGGCCGTGTGTCTTCCAGGACTAGAATGAGCATCTCATGAGATATATGACGGGTCAAGTTACTCTTCTAAGAGATTTTCACTTTTGGATTCTTTGTTCTCTGAGTGTTTAAGGTGTTTTGTTTTTACTTGGAAAGCAGATATTATATTCTTGTTTGGCTTTCTTTCCTTATGTGGGGGAGAGGGAAGTTAATTCTCCGATGGGAAGAGATGCTTTTGAGGATTAACTTCCCTCTAATTCTTCAAAAGCAATAGCAGCAACAAAGAGAAGTCACCCTGCTCCTCTTCCCCTTTTCCTAATGCTAGGCCCTCTCCTCACCCTACCACAGCTTCCCTGAAAAAACACGAGGAATAACTCCTTTCACGTATGCTGGAATCCAAATTCTCAGGGCAACAGAAAATGTATCTTCACGTACCTGAATGTCACATTAAGAGGAATGCAGCATGAAAGGGGCTGCTAGTCACTCATGAAGCAAATGGTACCAGAATTAGAAATGTTCCATTCTTAGTGCTTCTGAACTCTGATCTTTAGGTCTATATTGACACAGTGAAAGGGAAAACAGGTGGGGGGGAGGGGGGAGCAGAGGATGAGAATATTGCTGGGGCTTGTCATTCCTCAAGTATGTCTACCTGTCCTTAATTGTCACATTCTCCCCTACCTTCACTGATACTTTATTTCCACGATGATGATGTGTTCCTAATGGGAGAGCAAATAAAGCCAATAGCCAATGGCAGGTGATCTTTGGATGTGAGACAGACACATCTTTCTCTTTCATACTAAAGAACAGTATAGGGGCACCGGGTGGCTCAGTCAGTTGGCTAAGCATCTAACTTCGGCTCAGATCGTATCTCACGATGAGTTCGAGCCCCACATCAGACTGTCTGCTGTCAGCACAGCGCCCGCTTCAGATCCTCTGTCCCCTCCTCTCTCTGCGCACCACCACCCCCCGGCTTACACTCTCTCAAAAATAAATAAAAATATGGAAAAATAACAACAGTATATAGTACAAAGTTAGAGCTCTTTATTCAGACAGTAAAGCCCAGCAAAGTGGGAGGGCTATGCTGTCTCCATGGCAACAGAAAGTCTCATAAATGTAAAGTTCCTGGCTTCTATCAGACAGACTCTTCCTGGCCCAGAAGAAACAGGTTTTAACTTGATGAGAACAACCCAGGCAGCCTGGCAATAGTACAGAAGGGTGGCTAGCTGTTCAGTCTCTGGTCAGTTCTTCTGGAAGTGCTCAGTGAGCATGTTCATCAGCTCCTGCTTCTTCAACCCACCCTTCAGCCCATACACCTTGCAGACTTCCTTCAGCATGGGCACAGTGAGCTTACCCAGCGTGCCCTTGCTGACATGGGCCTTCAGCTCCTCTTCAGATAACTCCACTTTGGGTCTTTTGCTTCCAGAACCTTCATCATCTGGGGAAAAAGGTCAGGAGGGAGTGATTGGAAATGCTAACAGTGGCCCTTCTACGGTCTGGGCTGCAGTTAGCCATTTTCCATAAGCTGGGATGCCCAGGGGAGCGTGTTTTGATAAGGTAGCTTCATTTAAGCATAAAGTCAAAACCATATCAGACCTAGAAGGAAGTTCCAAGTAGTGCAGTTGCCATCAGTTTACCCAAAATTGGTGCTCAGTCTGGGGAAGTCATTCCTTCCTTCGTTCAAAAAGCATTTACAGAGCACCGTGTCAAGTACTAAGGCGCCATGCTAGACGATAAGCAAGTGCAGACTGAGTGAGATAAACAAGTAAATCCCTAAAGTGTGCACATGTGTGAAGAGCTATGGTAACAGCTCACACAGGGCACTAGGAGTCACTTTTTGGGTTGTTTTTTTTTTTAATAAATGTTTGTTTCTTTTGAGAGAAAGCATGCACACGTGTTTGTGAGAACAGGGGAGGGATAGAGAGAGACAGAGAGAGAGAGAGAGAAAGAGAGAGAGATGATCCCAAGCAGGCTCCACAGTGTCAGCACAGAGCTTGATGTGGGGCTCTAACTCACCAACTATGAGATCATGACCGGAGCCAAAACCAAGAGTCAGATGCCTAACTGACCAAGCCACCCGGGGTGCCCCTAGAGGAGTCACTTCTGATGGAGAAGAGAGAAGGCTCCATGGCCACCAACCTAGTCTCTCACAGCTCCATTTCCTTGTAAGGCTGCAAGTTCGAGCCCCACATCGGGCTTTGCGCTGATAACACGTATTCTCTGTCTCCTTCTCTCTCTGCCCCTCTCTTGCTAGCACTTCCTCGCCCTCCCTCTCCCAAAAATAAACATTAAAAATTTTTTAATTAAAAAAAAAATTAAAAACCAGTTCCTGGGTCGCCTAGGTGGCTCAGTCAGCTAAGTGTCTGACTTCAGCTCAAGTCATGATCTCACGGTTCATGAGTCCGAGCCCTGCATTGGGCTCTCTGCTACCAGCACAGAACCTACTTCAGATCCTCATTCTCCCTCTCTCTGCCTCTCCCCTGCTTGCACCCTCTCTCCTTTTGCTCTCAAAAATAACCTTAGAAAATTAAATAAATAACCCAGTTCCTCACCTTGTTTCCTCTTGGAAACTTTTTCTTCAGGATTATAATCAGGTGGGTAGACAAGCTCCTTAAACTCATCCACCAGGGGGCCAAGTCTCTTATCTATTGCTTTAGTTTTAGGCACTAGAAAATCAAAACACAAGAAGAATGAGTCAGGTGAGTCACAAGCCCTGGCTTCCTGTCCAGTTCCAAGTCTACAGGGACCAGAGGAGAAAGCACCTAACTGTAGGGGTTGAGGGAAGTCAGGAAAGGGTCCAGGAGGAAGCAACTAACCTGGTCAAGAACACATTCAACAAAGTCTTCCTAATATTTACCAAGTACCTTCTAACAATTGAATTTAATGAGCACTTACTACAGCCAGACACCCTTCTCACTGCTTTAAACTTATTTTATTTAATCCTGTAACAACCTCTAGGGTAGGAAAATTTGTTTCCTTATTTTATAGAGGAAAGCAGAGAGGTTAAAAGACTTGCTCAAGGTCAAACAGCTGGGAGTAATAGAGTTGAGAATGGGGTTAGATTCTGGAGTTTCAAACAAGAGTCTGTGCCCCCAGTGGGATTACAGTCTCGTCAGGGTAAGGAGGCAGTAAAAACATAAACACAGTGGCTGGCAATGCCATGATGGAAGGGACCGAACAAAGGCACACTGGAACACAGGAGGGGTCAGGAGAGATTTCTGCAGCCAAGTCTGCAAACCTGAGTGTTCTTCCTCAGGCAGGGACTATTCAAAGCAGGAGAAGGCACAGGATAGGAAATAGATAACATACAGCTTGAAGGTAGAATGTCAGGAGTGTAGGACCAGTGAGGAGGCTGGAAAGGCGATCATGGCAAGGTCATGGAAGCCTTGAATGCCCACCCAGGTCGTAGACTTTATCCTGAGAGCAGTGGGGAAACTCTGAAGGGCTATGAGCAGGGGAACAACATGATTCCAATTACATTCCAATTACATTTCCAGTTTAGAAAGATCATCCTGGGGTGCCTAGGTAGCTCAGTCAGTTGGGTGTCTGACTTCAGCTCAGGTCATGATCTCACAGCTTGTGGGTTCGAGCCCTGCATCAGGCTCTGTGCTGACAGCTCTGAGCCTGGAGCCTGCTTCAGATTCTGTGTCTCCCTCTCTCTCTGTCCCTCCTCTGCTCATGCTCTTTCTCTGTCTCTCAAAAATAAATAAACAAGAAAGAAAGAAAGAAAGAAAGAAAGGAAGGAAGGAAAGGAAGGAAGGAAGGAAGGAAGGGAAGGAAGGAAGGAAGGAAAGAAAAGAAAGAAAGAAAGAAAGAAAGAAAGAAAGAAAGAAAGAAAGAAAGAAAGAAAGAAAAGATAGATAGATAGATAGATAGATAGATAGATAGATAGATCATCCTGAGCTGTGTGTGGATGGGAGGAGGGTGAGACAGAAGGCCAAACCTGGGGTGAGGGTGGAGGGGATAAGGAACCATAAAGTGGCAGAATTGATGGATGTACAGATAGAATGTGAGGTGTAGGATGGCCAGAGGGAGGTGGCGACCAGCTGGGATGGCAGGAGCATTCCCCAGGACTGATACAACAGAAAAAAGATATCTTTGGGGGAAAGACAGTATTTTTGTTTTCTTTGTTACCTAACCATTATACGGTTTGTTGAGCTTGAGACCTGAGCTGTGTCACATCAAGGACAGGCATGAGGAGACGAGCATCTCATCATCTCCTCATGTGGCCACGTTTCCAAAGTATTAAGGGAAGATCCTGCCGCCTGGTGTGCCCAGAAGAAGGCACAATGTCACAACCAACCTGGGCTCCTGCTGAGACAGAAGCCCCATGTTCCAGACTATAGGAGTCTCTGCGAGAGCTTTGGTTCTCAACCTGGCAACCAGCTGAGACTTTTAAAAAATACCAATGCCCAAACCCCACCCCCCAGAGATTCTGATTTAAGTGGTCTGGGGGTGAGGCCTAAACCGCCAGATTTTTTGAAGTCTCCTGGATGATTCTGTTGTACAGCCAAAGTCGAGAACCAGTGTGCTAGAGGTTAAGAGCAGGTCTCAGAATAACCTGGAAGGCTTGTTGTAAGACACAGGTCGCAGGGGCCCAACCTGAGTTTCAGATTCAGTCAGCCTGGGAAAGGGCTCAACATGGGCATTTCTGACAAGTTTCCAGGAGACACCAGTGCTGCTGTTCCAGGAAGCACACTTAGAACCACTGGTGGAGTCTGAGGAGGCCACGTGGGGAGAAGTGAAGTGACAGAGAAACAGAGGGCCCAGGATCACCTAGTGCACTCGCTCCCATGTTTAGAGGAGAAAAAAAGGGAAGCAGGTCCAGCAAAGGTGTCTTAGGGCACTGTCAGCTCAGGAGAAGAACAAAGCATGGTGTCACAAAGCCAAACAGAGAAAATGAGAAACAGTTGTGAGTCTGCAGGAAGTTATTTATTCAAAGGAAACCATATTCTGTGTCAGAGGGAAGCAGATACACATCGGACTGGAAACGAGTAAAGAACATAAAAGAACGAGCGTCAAAGGGGTCGGGTGTCTGAGCGGTGGGACACCTGGGGCCTGCAGCAGCCATCACCAGGCAGCTGCAGTTCCGGCCAGAGCCCGGGACAAAGGGTATGGCTGGAGACAGGCTCGGGGGTCACAGACATGAGGGATACAGCAGGCTGGGGGAGCAGCCAAGATAACCAACAGAAAGGGAGAGCAGCGGGGCTGAGGACAGAAACCTGAGCCCCTGGAGTTATAGGAAACGTCAGAGCAGCCAAAACTGTTTTGAAAATAGAGGCAGGAAGAGCAAACACAACTTGCAGTAAAATTACAGGACAGGAGCCAGAATGGAAGAGGCCAAGGCCCCGGTGAGGAAGAGAGAGAACGCTGTGGAATAAAGGGGAACAACTGTGTTTTGAACACTTCCTGAGAGTCAGGACCGAGACGGTGTCAATAGCTTATAAGAACAGTATCGGGGCGCCTGGGTGGCTCAGTCGGTTAAGCGGCCGACTTCGTCTCAGGTCATGATCTCGCGGTCCGTGAGTTCGAGCCCCGCGTCGGGCTCTGTGCTGACAGCTCAGAGCCTGGAGCCTGTTTCAGATTCTGTGTCTCCCTCTCTCTCTCTGCCCCTCCCCTGTTCATGCTCTCTGTCTCAAAAATAAACAAACATTAGAAAATTAAAAAAAAAAAAAAAAAAAGAACAGTATTGCTGTCCCCATTTTACCTATAATGAAACTGAGTTTCGGGTAGATGAAGTAAGATTCCAAGGCTACTCAAGTTAGTAAGTGGCAGAGCTGGGATTCAAATCTGTATCAGGTATTTCCAAAGCGTATGTCCTTCACCACCTTGCTGGAGACCAGGCAACTTACTCCCTGATTTATCTAAAGGCCATCAAGAAAGATGGCTGCTTGGGGCACCTCGGTGGCTCAGTCGGTTGAGCATCCGACTCTTGATTTCAGCTCAGGTCATGATCTCACAGTTTGTGGGATCGAGCCCCATGTCAGGCTCTGTGCTGGTGGCACGGAGCTTACTTGGGATTCTCTCTCTTCCCCTCCCCTGCTTGTGCTCTTTCTCTCTCTGAAAAGTAAATTCACTTAAAAAAAAAAAAGATGAGCTGCTTAATTCCAAGGTTCCTGTTGGGCTAGATCCGGCTAACAGTCACCACCATAATACAGGTACAATAGCTTTTACATGTCTAGCACTGGGACTGTTTTGTCTAGTAAAAAGAGACCATTAATAACTGGGAAGTAAGGGCGCCTGGATGGCTCAGTCGGTTAAGCGTCCGACTTCAGCTCAGGTCATGATCTCGTGGTCCGTGGGTTCGAGCCTCACGTCGGGCTCTGTGCTGACAGCTCAGAGCCTGGAGCCTGCTTCAAATTCTGTGCCTCCCTCTCTCTGTGCCCCTCCCCCGCTCACACTCTGTCTCTCTCAAAGATAAACATTAAAAAAAAATTTTTTTTTAAATAATAATAATAACTGGGAAGCTCAGCAGGCCACACTAATTGTTCTGATCTTTTCAACCTCTGTTAAGAGCCTTCATTAAATCCCATCTGTTGCCCAGCTGACATTTACCTGTATCACTAAACTGTGTGTGTCCTCTTACGAAATACATACGAGAACCACAATCAAGAAAGGGACTGGCAGCGAGCTCAGAGCTCAACTGAGACAGCCAGGCAAATCTCCCCGATGCTGGGTAACAAGGATCTTCTGAGGCAGAGCCTACAGTCTGATGGAGAGACAGGAAACACAGTGGTGCAGAGCGAGGGCTCTGGGCCAGACGCACTGGATTCTAAACCTGGATCCACCGCTCACTACTTAGTGCCTTGGAGAATTACTACCTTCTCTATTAAATAAGGACAACGGTGCCTACCTCATAGTTACCAGAACTGGATGAGTCAACAACTAGGACCAAGAGTGCCTGGCACACAGTAAGCGCTCAATAAATGTTATAGGTTATTATTTTTTTTTTTTTACTTTTACCAACATGTAGTCATGAGGGGGCCTGGTTCAAAGGCAGGTTGCAGAAGCCTGGCACACTCTCCTCCTCTTATGGCAGAATGAGCCAAATCTCTTCTGAGACAGTCTATGCTGGTCTAGAAAAGCTCTCAGAGAAGGCTGGAAAAACGAGGTGCAGTCTTTGCAGGATGCTAGAAAACGCATCCGTATTTCCAGTCCAGAGTGAAACCGTTACGAAAACCTCCCATGGAAAGAGCTCAGTCCCAGCCTTCTTACGTGTCAAATCCACTGCCTGTTCAGGCTCCATCAAATCCAAAGCCAAGGCCTCCAGGTTTCTGAAGTGCTGCTGCAGCACTGGGTTCTCAAAGGCATCACTTCTAGTAAAACAGTAACATAAATAAATTGAAGCATTTAAACATTAAAAAAATAATAACAAAATTAAATAAACCCAACTGAGATACCACAGGCCCAGGGTCAGCTGAGGAAAAGAGCCCAGATAAAACAGCTGGGAGTCTTGTCTCTGGAATCAACTTTTCTCTCTCCAATTTCCAATTTATTGGAATCCAAAAGCCGATCAAAA